TATACAGAGTCACTACGTATTGATAAATTAAAATCACTAGGAAAATATAGAAATTTTAAACTTATATGTACATTTGTGTTTCAAATATATAAAAATTAAAAATGACAATCATTAGTTCAAGAAGAACTTGACAAACCCACTATCAGAGTGGCAGATTTATGACATATTTCTCTTAATGACACATTAAGAAAAAAGTTAATAAAAATGGAGAAATTTTGGATAATATAATTAACCAGCTCTAACTAATCTGCCTATAACATACAATACACCCCAAACTGAAGAATTCTTATTCTTTTCAACTGCACCTGTAACATTTTTTTTTTTTTTTTTTTTTTGAGACTGAGTCCCGCTCTGTTGCCCGGGCTAGAGTGCCGTGGCGTCAGCCTTGCTCACAGCAACCTCAAACTCCTGTGCTCAAGCGATCCTCCTGCCTCAGCCTCCCGAGTAGGTGGGACTACAGGCATGTGCCACCATGCCCAGCTAATTTCTTTCTATTTTTAGTAGAGACGGGTCTCACTCTTGCTCAGGTTGGTCTCGAACTCCTGATCTCAAGTGATCCTCCCGCCTCGGCCTCCCAGATAGTGCTAGGATTACAGGCAGGAGCCACCACGCCCAGCCAAGCACATGGAATACTTAACAAAATTTGACTATGTCCATAAAGCAAGTATAAATAAATAGTACACAGACCAAATTCTCTATGATGCAATTTAAAAAAATGTTTTAAACTAATTCTTCTCATATATTTGGAAACAAAAATATGTTTTAAATAACTCAGGAATCACTCATACTGGAAAGAGTATTCTACATATTCTAATTCTTTGAAGGGTACTATATATGACACCTGTGTTCGTTAGAATCTCAGTTCTCCCACTATTCAAAGTAATTGAGTTTGTTCTATCCTGTGTTTATACTTAAGAATTTTTTGAATATTCTTTCATTGTTTTCTAAAAATGATTCCTCCAAAACCATATTTGGTTGCTAACTACAAAAACAACTGAAAGATTCACAAAATAATCCACCTGAGAAAATTTTCTAAATCACATCCTATTTCAAAATCATGCCTAATACTTATAAAAAGTTAAACTAATTATGAACAATTTGTGTAACTATGGAAATAAGACAGAAACAATTTCATGGAAGAATAAAACTTAAGCAATAGAAAATTTTCATAGAGCTAGCTGAAATTAGCCCAACAAAGAACAAAAGAAGAAAACCAGGAGTCTTGAAAAAGAAATGATCTTTAACCCTTGGTAACATTGAGTAAAATTACTATTTAACTATAGAAATATTTGAGTGGGCCTCTTAAATTTTGAGAGTTGAAAACCTTAAAAATAAAGGAGTAGGAATAGAAGAGGTTCTCAAATACTTTATTTAAAAATGTCACAAAATTGAAATAAGTGACATGCTTGCAAAATAAAGATAACAGTGTTTTATCTTATTTGCATACCCAGAGAATGCCGAAGACTCAAATAAACAATAATAGAACTAATAAGGGGATTTGGTAAGATGACTATATACAAGAAGAAAATCTGTATGGCAATAGCTTTTATTTTTACCAACAATAATCAGTCAATAATGTATACATACACATACAACACATAGAATGTTTATTGCAACTTTATTACAAATAGGGAAAATGTGGGATATAACCAGACTATATATCTACAAGGAAATGGTTGAGTAAGTTATAAGTCCTATAATATACTATACAGTTTTTAAAAAAGAATCAGTTATATCCGTATGTATTGACCTAGAAAGATACTTATGACATACGTTTGAGTGGAAAAAAGCCAGTAGCAAAAAACTGTATATAATATAATCTCATTTTTATTAAAAGGGAGTGAAAGAGAAAAAACATGCTGTGTGTGTGTTAATAAGGATTACTTCAAGATATTCTCTATTCAAATCTACTTAATACCAATATCAATGCCTAAAATATCTAACAAAACTTAAAAGAAGATAAACCCAAAGCATAATGACTAAAGCAGAATTACATTTTCTAAAAACTTTGTAATGCAGAAGAAAGCCATAAAAACTCTTCTAAATAAGTAACGCTACATGCTAAAAAGTAGGAAAAAATATTTTAATTTTAGGAAGAAGGTATCTAAAAATATTGGTGAAAACAATAAAACGATGAGTGTTCCAGTAGGTAAGGTGTAAAATCCAGTACAGGAAAACCACGTTTCTCTATACTGCCAACAATTCTGAGACCAAATGTGTGGATCTTCCACATCAAGCAATTCTCCAATTCTCTGTAAGACCTGGAGTCTTACAATTTAATTCTGATACTAACTATGCAAAGTTATTGCAGCCCCCACAGGTTAAGGGCTCAGTGCCACGAGGCTGTCCCCACTTCAGATGGTGATCCCAAGTCTAGGTGACCAATTGGCTATAGATCAGGGTTCCTTGACTCCTTTCTTGGATTCAATCATTTGCCAGAATGGCACATGAAACTCAGGAAGGCACTTATGTTTACTAGTTTATTATAAAAGATACAACTCAGAAACAGCCAAATGGAAGAGATGCATAGGGCAAGATTCAGGGGAGAGGCACAGAGCTTCCCCGCCCTCTCCAGTTGTGCAACCTCCAGCGCTGCAATGTGTGCATCAACCAGGAAGTTCTCTGAAGCCCTGTGGTCAGAGCTTTTATGGAGGCATCATTAGGTAAACATTATTGATTAAGTCATTGGCCATCGGCACTCAACCGCCAGCCTCTCTTCTCTCCCCATAGGTTGGGGGGCAGGGACTGAAAGTTCCTACCCTTTAATCACTTGGTTGGTTCCCCTGGCAACCAGCTCCCCCATCCTAGGGGCTTTCCCAAAGGTGTCTCATTAACATAAATTCTGGTGTAGGTGAAAGGGGCTTCTTATGAACAACAAAAGATGCTCCTATCATCTTTGTCACTCCAGAGCTCTTTCAGGAACTGGGGACAAAAACCAAACATCATAATAAAAGGTGCTCCTATCATCCTTACAAGGGTTTTAGAAGCTCTGTATCAGGAAGGGGGGGAAGGGAGACCAAATGTATATTTTGATGTCACACCAATTTTTAAAAAACAAGAACGAAATGGACAATAGTGCAAAACAACGTTATTGACCTAGAAAACAGACTGAGAGACCTAAGCTGTTCGTTCTAAGTTCAATGCCAGATTATAAATATGAAAATTTGCGACAATGATGTAATACTACAGGACTAGCAAATAAGTGGCTCCTCCCCACCTACCCAATCCACTCCCAAGACAGTCATCGTTAATCTATCTCTGCAGTCTTTTCTTTTGAGCCAAGACAAGACCAGAAGTTTCTCAACTTAGCATTTTGGACAGCCTCTACCCAATGCTTGTAGTTGCAATATAAAATGAAAACAACTTGCTTCTATAGAAACAATTACGTCATCCAAAAATAACGAGGGGAAAAGAAAGAAAATAACATGTCATTTCTTCAATAAGAAAGTATCCGATATGAGAATTCAGCCTAAAAATGGAAAAGGCCCAAAGGTTTCTTCAAGGTTTAACATTCAAGGGAAACATTTAGACATGTCCTTGTTAAAGCCCTGAACTTCAGAGATAAAGAATGATGGCTTGAAGCAACTAAAGAGAAGTGAAAGATTGCATTTCAGGCCATCACAGGTAAGAAGAGCTTGAGATCACCCTACCAAGGTGCTGAAAAGGATTCATAAATCCACAGAACCTGCAGAAATTCCCCAATGGGCAACCTCATCTTCAAAGAACTATCCAAGGAGAATTTGACTTAGAAAAGCTATCAATTACTTAAATAATGTAAGCTAACTTAAATAATGTAAGCACTAAGGTTAACTATTGATATATAGTAAAATTTAATTTGTTTATATGGCAGTTCTTAAAAATGAGGAGAAAAGACATTTTAAACATGTTTCAGAGTGTCAAGTCTATCAATCATGAATGAGTTGGGGAGAGCAGTTTTGGTGAATTCCAGTGTTAGCCAATATATTTCCTGTTAAGGGGTCCAAAATTGTTTTGTTCTTTATAATATTAGATTAAAATATGAATGTAGATTAATGATTATACTGTTTTGCCCTTTTTTAAGTATTAAGAGGTCATGTCATCGCATACAAGAACCATTGATTTATTTTTTTATATGGAACACTTTACAGATTTGCCTGTCATCCTTGCACAGGAGCCACGCTAATCTTCTCTAGTGCAGAACCATCAGTTTTAAAGCACACCATTATGTAAGTGCTAGTTAGAAAAATCACTTCAGTTAAGCTATTACCCAATGTTTAGGTGAAAGCCCCTAAAAATTCTTATTGCTTAGAATTTTTATTTTATCCTTTTTGAAGGTACTCTTGTAGGCTTGCTGAGACATAGACATGATCATCTTACTGAGAGCCATGACCAAGTTCATGCACGTGGAGACAGTGACAACTCTTATATCTTCCCCCTGGCTGGCAGCCACTGTAGGATACCATAAGACACAACCTGATTTTAAGGATGTTAAAATGTATGCCTTAGAATTGATGAAATATGACACATTAAATAAGTTACCTTCCAAGTGGGTTTCAAAGGAAAGAAGGTACTTAAAACAGATAAATATGACTGGGCATGGTCATATTTAGCAGTGTGGAATGCTTCTGTGCTCATTTTGTACTACAGGGATGTACAAAATGCCTTGACTGACTCTGCCGAAAAGGCTTTCCAGTCGGAGCGCAGAGACATCCTTGGAGAAGGCAGAATTGAAAAGAAGGAGAAAAACCCAGAGTGATGGAAAGGAGTTCAAATGTGACAGACTAGTTTAAATGCCTCTGGGATCTTAATATTTGGGGGTTCAAGACAGGATCACAAGGCTCTCACAGCACTCATGCTGCCATCAGGCAAGGAGGGGACAGCAATGTGCCCCCAGTAGTGGGAGCTCAGTATGCATTTGCTGAGCACGTGTGCACGAGCGAATGGATAAGTGAATAAGGGCATGAGTTGGGGTTGTCTGTGGCCCAGGATAACAGCTGTTCTCTTTGCCCTCGTCACCCCAGAGAAACTGGAGTGTGAGAAGCTGAATGTTGCTGAGGTCACCCAGTCAGAGATTGCTCAGAAGCAGAAACTGCAGACCGTCCTGGAGAAGATCAACGAAACCCTGAAACTTCCTCCCAGGAGTATCAAGTGGAACGTGGACTGTAAGTTGTACAAAGGAAAATGGCACTATTAAACGACACCTGTGGTCCCTACCACGTGGCCTGCCTAAGATGCCATTGTAAGCTGGCAGGCTCTGGGGGGGTTCAAACTCATTTATCTTTGAGGGAGATGCCCCATCCCTTCCTTAAAAAGAGAACTTGTCATAATATACTTGGAGAAAAATAACAAAGTGTCAAAATCCAGTGTCTCTTTTCTGTAAAAAGGATTTCCATAGAAACCTTGTGTGGGATTGGGAGAGGAAGGAACCTCATATTCCTTGAGCCACTCCTTTTGAGAAAGCCACTGTCTCCGGCTTGTAGAGCCTTCGAGAAGCTGAGGTCTCGTGTTCAGGCAGCCAAGAAGCAGGGAGCAGGGAGGGACTCAGCTCTGTCTGTTCCAAAGCCTCCACCCGTCCACACCCCCTGCTTTCCTTAGAGGAGCAAAGGCATGGCTGAGATCGTAGGCACTGGAACATGATTTTAAAATTTGGCTTTTCACAACTAGTATAGCTCCAGGATCTCAGAAAATGTAAACCATTAGTTTATTTGCTGCCTCAAGGGCCTGTTGACTCATGTGGACTTGTTGAGTCCCTATCAAAATCAACATCAAAGCACTGGATTAGGTGAATCCTACAACTGGATTCCAAAGGTGTTTTATTGTTTGTAATAGATCAAAATACAAATTTAGATTAATAAACTGATGAGATTGTGTTTTGCCCTTAAGTATTAAGAGGTTATGTACTATATTGCATCCAACTTAGACAGCTTAAAATGAACACCTCCCCACGCAAAAACACCTTTCAAACTCAGGAAAGAAAAAGGAATCTTTGCCTCTAAACTTAGAAACCTGATAGCTGCCAGTCACAATCTCTTCAGCAGGTTTTTAACGTCTGACACTGGGGCCAAGACACCGGGTAACTCCTTCAACATAATGACACCTTTGCCTGCACAGCGTGATCAGCTGCTTGGCACAGCGGCAGGGCGCTGAGACCGGGGCATTCTCTGCCCACGGAGGGAGACGCCTGATGGCGGGAGGAGGGGAGGCCACGGCTCCGGGCCCCAAGTGCTGTCTCGGAGAGGGCCTCTATTAATATTTCCTCGTGTTCTAGGAATTCTGGTGTGTTCAGTGAGGAAGAGAAAGAGGAGGTTTGATCTCCAGTTTGGGAAATGTGCATGCATTTTAGCAATCCACACTAGTCGTAAGCAGTAGAAAAGTCTTCTAATGAAGACTCCTGCTTGGTTTTGTTTGATCCTATTTCCTACTCCTTTGAACATGGACCATCTCCTTGTATCCCTCCAAAAAAAAAAAAACCCACAACAAACATCATTTAACTTATTAGGGCACCCAATTTGAGGAAGGCTATAATAGAAGAATGGAATTTTTTCAGGCCACATCAAGAACATTGTCTTCAGTGACTTTGAATGATTTGTTTGGTTCATGCTTACTTTAATTCCTTATAGGGAAATGTGTATGAGAAAAATAATCACTTATATTACCACTCTAATCTGTTTTGTTTTCCCATTACTGGTTATATGAATGCATCTTTTTGCTTGGTCAAATCATAGACACTATTGTGTCTTGTTATTTTCTCTTAATATTATCACACATATTTTCCATATTCCTTCGTGGTCTTCATAGCTATAATTTTTGATAGCTGCTTCTATTCATGAGATAGATACCCCATAGTTAAGCTCAACCCTAGGTTGATGTGGATCCTTTTAGGATGTTTCCCAACCTATTGCTAATATCAGATAGCACCAGGTTGAATGTCTTAGCTTGCGTCTCTTTTTACCCTCTAGAGAGATTTCCAGAACTGAGATGAATTACTAGGTCAGAGGGAATAATTATCTTGGTGGCTAGCTCCCTGCAATGCCTTGAGGAATGTGACAGGCACAACCCCTGGAGGGGAAGCTCTATCTCCTCCTCTCCCAGGTGTCTTCTCTGGATGTAAATCTGAAGACATTGTGTCATCTTTCTACTTAGGATAAGGGTGGCCCTACAACTTTCTGGAGAGTTCCCAGCAAGGAACAGGTGTCCTGCAAACCTATTAACCCAGAGCTCAGAAAAGAGGGTTCAAATGAGAAGTAACCAGCAAAAGAATCCTGGCAACATAAAAATCAAACCATATCAACACCCCCAAGGGATCACAATGGAGCTACAGCAATGAACTCCAACTACAATGAAATTGTCAAAATGACTGAAATGGAATTCAGAATATGGATGGAATTGAAGAGAAAATTGAAAACCAACAAAAAGAAGCCCCAAAAATATTTCAGGAAGTTAATGAAAAAGTCACTAAAGAGCTTGACAAAATTAAGAAGGATATAATAGAACTTAAAGAAATGAAAGAGTCTTTCAGGGATTTTGAAAACACAGTAGAAAGTTTCAGCAACAGATTAAACCAAGGAGAAGAAAGAATGTCAGAGCTTGACGACAAGGCTCTTGAGCTAACCCAATCATTTAAAGAGGCAGAGAAGAGAACAAAGGCAGAACAATCACTTAGAGAGATATAAGACTACATGAAGTGAACAAACAGACAATTTTTAGGTATCCCTGATGGAGAAGAAGAAAATACTAAAAGCATGGAAAATCTACTCGATGGAATTATTGTGGAAAACTTCCCCAGTATTGCCAGAGATCCAGACATCCAGATACAAGATGGTCATCAAAATCCAGGAAGATTCATAGCAAATAGGACATCTCCAAGACACATAGTACTTAACCTGGCCAAAGTCAAAATGAAAGAGAAAATTCTACAAGCAGCTAGACATAAACAACAACTGACCTACAAGGGAAAACCCATCAGGATAACAGCAGACTTCTCACTGGAAACCTTACATGCCAAGGGAGTGGGCCCCCATCTTCAATCTTCTTAAACAAAACAACCGCCAGCCTAGAATTTTGTATCCTGCAAAACTAAATTTCCATTTGATAGAGAAATTAAGTCTTTTTCAGACAAGCAATTGCTGAGAGAATTTGCCAAGTCCAGACCTGCCATGGAGGAAGTAACTCAGACCTGCACTATACATGGATCAGCACAGTAGATGCCCACCAATGTAAAAACCCCCAAAAGTTAAAGGTCAGAGCCCAGTCACCACAAATGGCTCAAGAGATAAAACAGAGAAGTAAAGTGCTACTCAACAGGAAGAATAGAAGTCCACCCCACTTATCAATGCTTTCAATAAATGTGAATGGCTTGAACTCCACACTGAAGAGACATAGCCTGGCTCAATGGATAAAAAAATACAAGCCAAGTATCTGCAGTCTCCAGGAAACACATCCAACCTACAAGGACTCATTCAGACTCAAGGTCAAGGGATGGAAAACAATATTCCATGCAAATGGAAACCAAAAGAAAGCTGGTATAGCAGTTCTTATATCAGATAACATATACTTCAAATCAAAAAAAGTAATGAAAGACAAAGATGGTCATTATATAATGGTAAAGGAAAAAATTCAACAAGAAGACATAACAATTCTAAATATTTATAAAGATTCATAAAGCAAACCCTACTTGATCTAAACAAAATGATAAACAGCAGCACCATAATAGCAAGGGACTTCAACATCCCACTGACAGAACAGGACAGATCTTCCAAACATAAAATAAACAAAGAAACAGTGGACTTAAAGAGAACTCCAGAACAAATGAGCCTAACAGACATTTACAGAACATTCTACCCAAAAACCACTGAATATACATTCTTCTCATCAACTCATGGAACATTCTCCAAGATTGATCACATCCTAGGCCACAAAACATGTCTCAATAAATTTTAAAAAATAGAAGTTATACCATGCATCTTCTCAGACCCCAATGGAATAAAATTAGAAATCAACTCCAACAGAAACACTCATCTCTACACAAAGTCATGGAAACTAAACAACCTACTGCTGAATGATAGTCGGGTCAAGGAGGAGATAAAGATGAAAATCAAAAGATGTTTTGAACTAAATGATAATGGGCACACAAGTTATCAAAATCTGTGGGATACAGCAAAAGAAGTCCTAAGATGAAAACTTATGGCCTTAAATGCCCACATGCAAAAGACAGAAAAACAATCTAATCAATCATCTCAAGGAATTAGAAAAAGAAGAGCAAACAAATCCCAAACCCAGCAGAATAAAAGAAATAACCAAGATCAGAGCAGAACTAAATGAAATTGAGAATAAAAGAATTATGCAGAATATTAATGGAACAAAAAGTTGGTTCTTTGAAAAGATAAACAAAATTGGCAGGCCTCTTGCCAGATTAATCAGAAACAGAAAAGAAAGGACTCTAATACGCTTGCTCATAAATGAAAAAGGAGAAATCACAACTGATACCATGGAAATACAAAGCATCATCTCTAAATACCACAAAAATCTCTATGCTCATAAACTTGAAAATATGGAGGAAATGGACAACTTCTTGGAAACACACAACCTCCCTAGGCTCAATCAGGAAGAAATGGAATTCCTGAACAGACCAATATCAAGCACCAAAATTGAAGCAGCAATAAAAAATCTTTCAACAAAATAAGTCCTGGACGATATGGTTTCACACCCAAATTTTACCAAATCTACAAAGAAGAACTGGTACCTATACTGCAGAAATTATTCCATAACATTGAGAAGGAAGGAATCCTCCTCAGCTCATTCTACGAAGCCAACATCACCTTGATACCAAAGCCAGGAAAGGACACAACAAAAAAAGAAAACTAGAGACCAATATCCCTTATGAATATACATGCAAAAATTCTCAATAAAATCTTATCAAACCGAATTCAGCTGCACGTCAAAAAAATAATTCATCACAACCAAGTAGGCTTCATCCCAGAGATGCAAGGATGGTTCAACATACGCAAATCTATAAATGTAATTCACCACATAAATAGAAGCAAAAACAAAGACCATATGATCCTCTCAATAGATGCTAAAAAAGTATTTGATAAAATTTCAGCACCCTTTTATGGTAAGAACACTTAACAAAATAGGCATAGATGGGACATACCTCAAAATGATAAAAGACATATACGACAAACCCACAACCAACATCATACTGAACAGGGAAAAACTGAAAGCATTCCCACTTAGAACTGGATTTGACCAGGTTGCCCACTGTCAACCCTTCTACTCAGCATAGTGCTAGAAGTCCTAGCCAGATCAGTCAGACAAAGGAAGAAAATCAAGGGTATCCAAATGAGGAAAAAAGAGGTCAAACTATTGCTCTTTGCTGACAATATGATCTTATAGCTAGAAAACCCCAAAGATTCAACCAAGAGACTCCTGGAATTGATAAATAAATTCAGCAAAGTCTCAAGTTACAAAATCAATGTACACAAATCAGAAGTTTTCATATACACCAAGAACAGTCATGCTGGGAATCAAATCAAAGATGCAATACCTTTCATAATAGCAACAAAGAAAATAAAATAACTAAGAATATATTTAGCTAAGGAGGTGAAAGACCTTTGTAGGGAGAACTATGAAACACTGAGGAAAGAAATAGCAGAGGATGTAAACAGATGGAAAAACATTATCATGCTCGTGGATCAGCAGAATCAACATTGTTAAAATGTCTGTACTACTCAAAGTGATTTACACATTCAATGCAATCCTCATTAAAATGCCAACATCATTTTTCGCAGATCTAGAAAAAATAGTTCTACACTTCATATAGAACCAGAAAAGATCCCAAATAGCCAATGCAACCTTACATAATAAGAACAAATCAGGAGGCATCACTTTACCAGACTTTAAGCTATAGTAACTAAAACAGCATGGTACTGGCACAAAAACAGAGACACAGACCTATAGATTAGAACAGAGAACCCAAATGTGAAACCATCCTCATATTGCCATCTGATCTTTGACAGAGCAGACAAAAACATACACTGGGGAAAAGAATCCCTATTCAATAAATGGTACTGGCAAAATTGGACAGCCACATGTAGCAGACTGAAACAGGATCTGCATCTCTCACCTCTCACAAAAATCACCTCACAATGGATAACGGACTTAAACCTAAGGCATGAAACATAAGAATTCTAGGAGAAACATTGGAAAAACTCTTATAGACATCAGCTAGGCAAAGAATTTATAAAGAAGACCCCAAAAGCAATCACGGCATCAATGAAAATAAATAAATGGGACCTGATCAAATTAAAAAGCTTCTGAACAGCCAGAGAAACCATCACTAGAGCAAACAGACAACCTACAGAATGGGAGAAAATATTTGCATGCCATACATCTGATAAAGGGCTGATAACTGGAATCTATATGGAACTCAGGAAAATCATCAAGAAAAAAATCAAACAACCCCATTAAAAAATGGGCAAAGGACATGAACAGAAACTTTTCAAAAGAAGACTAATGGTCAATAAAAATATGGAAAAATGCCCAACATTTCTAATCATCAGGAAAATGCAAATCAAAACCACAATGAGATATCACTTAACTCTAGCGAGAATGGCTTTTAATCAAGATGTCCCAAAACAACAAATGCTGGTGTGGATGTGGAGAGACAGGAGCACTCATACACTGTTGGTGGGACTGCAAACTAGTACAACCTCTAAGGAAAGTAGTGTGGAGATACCTCAAAGAGCTAACAGTGGAAATACCATTTGATCCAGCAATCCCCACTACTGGGCATTTACCCAAAGGAAAAAAAAGACATTCTATAAAAAAGACACCTGCGCTTGAATGTTTATAGCAGCACAATTCACAATTGCAAAGATGTAGAAACAACTCAAGTGCCCATCAATACATGAGTGGATTAATAAAATGTGGTGTGTGTGTATGTATATATCATGGAGTACTACTCAGCCATAAAAGAATGGTTAACTAATACTTCTTGTATTAACCTGGATGGAACTGGAGACCATTATCCTAAGTGAAGTATCACAAGAATAGAAAAACAAACACCACATGTACCCAACACTAAATTGGAACTAATTGATCAACACTTATGTGCACATATGGAAATAACATTCATTGGCAATCAAGCAGGTAGGAGGAGGGGATGAGTAAATTCACATCTGACAGGTACAGTGCACACTATATGGGTGATGGGCACATTTATAACTTTGACTCAAATGGTACAAAGGCAATTTATATAACCAAAACATTTGTACCCTCATAATATTCTGAAATAAAAAATAATAATTTACATTTTTGTGCACATTGTGTGTATGTATGTGTGTGAGTGACTATGGAATTATTTCTTTTAAAAAAATTCCCAAGAGGACACAGCATTCATTGAAAGAGGCTGACATCCATATGATGCTTACAGTACAGCTCTATGTTCATCTATTGAGCAGAGATGGCGTACAGTGTCACTAGGTTATAAGAACAACCTGTCTGACCACAACTTTTCTAGTATTATGTTCTGCCCTTAAAGAAGGGAGGGGTAGCAAATGTTCTTACAGCCCTCAGTTTCAGGCAGGTGGTGGGTGGCAGTTCTGATCGGAAGAGCAAACCAAGATTTGCCCTGGTCCTCAGTGACCATGCCATGTCAGTGGGTCCGTCCCATGTCAGGAGCCTTTTGTTGAGGCTGCAACTGTGAGTAAAACTTAGTTGACGATGCTGGAAAGCCCAAAACTGAAACCTACTTCTGGAAGGCTAGAGTTCAGAGTAGTCCAGCTGCTGTTGTGGTGTTGAGCTGCTGTTCATAGTCAGAAGAAAAACCTTCTTTGAAGTAGTGGTGATAACAAGAAACTCTAATGAGTTTCAAAGGAATGTCTGAATCATTTCCTTTCCTTGATGATTTCTCAAAGCTTTTGCTAAAGCAGACTCACTGGTCCCAAGGAAAACAGAATAACACGCTAATAATGCACCCAGTGCATGCTCAGTAGATTAAATGGGCATTTTTGGTTCTTCCCTTAAATGCCTCTGTAATGAAGAATCATGAAGCTGGTAGGACTGTGAAGGCAGGTAAAGTATCTGGTGAATCTTCCCTTTTATGAGAAAGAAGGCTGACATGTTTAATAGCCTAGGTGCCAGGTACTTTCACGTAAGTTATAGTTAAAGATATCAGCCATTCCTGGACACCTGCTATGTTCCAGGAGCTTCGCCTACATTATCTTTAGAAATCGTTACAACTTGTATATCCACTTGGGTTCTGTCATCTCCGTTTGTGAAGATGAGCAAATTATGGCTTAGAGGTCTTGAGTGGCCCACCTAGCCAACATCATGTGGCCTGTAAATAAATGGTAGATTATAAAGTCAGAATTCAAGTTCCAATCTGCCTGACCTGTGGCACCTCACTGAGTCAGTCTTTTTCTCCTCACCCTGAGAATACTACAACCCAATAGGGCCCAACCTTTTCTAATGTAAATGGCTTAACATGTAGATCACGGCTCAGCAACTATGGAAGACAACTGGGTTATTAACATCCCCTCCCAGCTGTTCCCTACAGGCACTGCCTACACTGACCATGCATGGCACTCAAGAGAGCAACACAGCCCTTCGAATGTCTCTCATGCCTTCCTCTATGGATCTAAAAGCCCTGAACAAAGGAAGGACGCCACTGTTCCTGCCTCGGTGTCCGTTATTAGAGGCCTGCTTTGTCTGCAGTCTTGCGACAGGGGAGTGGTGGTGATCCAAAGAGTTCACAGTCAAGTGGGAGGGGAGCGGGTGTACAGCAGACATGCTATTGGTTATTAAAACAGAGTTGATGGGGACATAGGGTTGGAGCAGAGCTGATTAGAGCTCAGAACTCAGCAGTTGTCAGAGCCCCAGTGGGAACCTAGGATTGGAGAGGTGCTACATTGGAAATCTAGCAATAACATGATCCAGGAAGGAGCTCTGTGAGACCTGACAAAGAGTAAGGGGCCTGGGATGAGGCTGGTGACAACCACGGAGTCCCCTGACCCTTGGAGGTAGGATAAAGGGACATCAGGTAAAGGACTGCTACATTTCAAATATCTGCTTATAGTGCCTAGAACCCAGAGGAAGATGCTCTAATTTTTAAATCCTCTTTCATTTCAGCTGTTCATGCCAAGAGCCTGGTGGCCATCTTGCATCTGCTTGTTGCTCTCTCTCAGTATTTCCGGGCACCAATCCGACTCCCAGACCATGTTTCCATCCAAGTGGTTGTGGTCCAGGTAAGACAGGTACCACTACAAACACCTGTACCTTTGAGGAGTTGTGGAGGCTGAGTCCCTGTGAGAACTCAGACACATCAGGTAGATCATTAGGAGGACAGCTCAATGAATGCTGGGTGAGCCTGGGTGTGCTGGATGTGGGGGGCGTGTGAGTGAGCTTCCCTAACGCATGTTGGCTTTCCCCAGATACGTGTGCAAAGGATAGAAAAGCATGTGCTCGTGTACGGGATAGCCCTGTGTGGGGTGCATGACTGTGGTTTACATGTTTTTGTTAGGAGGTTGTCTGTGTAATGTGTCGTTAAGGGTGTGTGGCATGCATGTGAGATGTGTGTCGGGGAGTGAGGGGGAATGGTGCGTGTGTGTGTGCATTTGTGTACAGGAGTGTGTGGGGTGCCCTACAAGCCATGGAGAATCATAATTTTTTGGTTAAACAAATGATGCCCAGGTATTGGGGGAGCTAGGTGTGTGAGCCTGCGAGAGTGTGTGCATGTGTGTGTGCGTGTAAGAGAGACCCCAACTGGCCATGCCTGTGTTGAAGGCACTGCCGCTTTTTACCCACCCACGGCAGCACAGCTGGGATCCCAAGTCATCTTTTCCAGATTGTTGGATGGAATTTCCATTCACATATGGCTGTGTAATTTCCACAGTGAGGGTGTGCTCTCTCCCCGTGACTATCTCACTCTGCTCCTAACCCCATTAAATACTCAAATTCAATTTTATTTTCCAACTTTATACCCATTTAGCAAAAGGTCATCATTCTGTTTGCTTGTTTCTGTTCTTTTCCAAATAAACATGCGGCAGGGGAAAACTCTCCATATGAGCAGCTCCCTGGATATCCGGGGGGACCCAGGGCTCTGGAATAGAGAATGCAGATGGCAGCTCTGCCATCCCTTGGTGAGGAAAAGCCTTCAGGGCTGGTACATTTTGCCTGATCATGCCAGGCCAGTTTCCAAGACAAAATTGGAGTTGAGCTTTCAGGAATCAGATGTTAACAGGAGGGGAGGATCAATTGATCACTTGTTTCCTAATGAAAAAGTATTTCTTCCAAACCTTCTGGGTACTTAGCTCTGCTAAGCAGCAAGAGGGTACAATAGGTATATGACACTTTGGCCCTGCCTGCCAGGAGACAAGACCAAATTAGCAGCAGAAAGGGCTGTCAGAAGCCCATAGACAATGCAAATGTGTGTCGCTTGGACACCAAGTGCCTTTGACTGAAAGGTACTAATTGTCCCCACGTATGGGGCCCTTCACTTGTGCTGAACATTTTATGTATGCCGTGGATATGTGATCAACCACAGCATCCTAGCACAAGCATCTTCCAGGCCACCTCGATTTTCACCATTCAATAGCGTGTGACTCAATTTCATTGTTTGTAAAAACTACAGCTGGGGAGGAAGGGATGACGAGGTGGAGGAGCACAGAGGATTTTTAGATACATGTCATTATACATTTGTCAAAACCTGTGGAATGGACAGCACCAAGAGTGAACCCTAATGTCAGCTATGGACTTTGGGTGACCGTGATGTGTTAGTATCAACTGCAGGTTCATCAGCTGTAAAAAGTGTACCACTCTGGTGCGATGTTGATAGTGGGCGAGGACATGAGTAAGTGGGGGCAGGAGGTATATGGAAGTCTCTGTACCTTCCTCTTAATTTTGCTGTGAACCTAAAACTGCTCTAGAAAATAAAGCCAATTTTTTTTAAAAATTATGGTTCCTGGAGCAGTCCGTGAAAGAGTACTTTAGTGACCACATATCACTGACACTGAAATTTTTTAAAATGTTTTTCGTGAGCAAACGTGCCATCATTATATTCATTTATAGCTTTTTTATTGCTAGTGGAGATAAATACTTTTACATAAACTGCCCTTTTGTATCTTCTCTTTTATGACAGTTCATTCCAATTCTTTGAGTATTAATTTATTGAACATCTTAGGATTTTTCTTATCAGCTTGAATAAACAGCTATCTAATAGAAATAATGAGATACGCCTGTTGGAATCACTACAGACAAAAAACAATAACTACAGTTGAAGATCTGAGCAGGGGAGGGGGCTCCTAGTTTGAAACAGTGGTCATTACAAGCCCACATCTCGTGCCTTATTTTGAGCTCAGTTATAGGGCTTCAGAAGGCTGTTGTTGGTTTAATTTCTCTTGTAGGCAATTTTGTTAGCATGAGGGAGAAAAGAGGACACATTACATAAAATGGCATGAATGCATGCCAGGTTTTATGAGGCGTTTTACTTTATCAAGTTGAACGGGCACAGAAGCAGGACTGAGAACTGGCTGTGAGTCACTTAATAGCCACAGAGAGAACTCTCTAGGGAACAAAGAATGGACGGAGGTGAACCAGGGTACAAGTGAGGGGCTATTTAACCCACATTTCTTTTCCATTCTATATAAAAGCATTTAATGCTACATGAAGTTGAAGATGAGGTTTTATGTCTGTGCATGGCTTCACAAGACAGGGACACAGATTCCATTAGCCTCATGTGAAAATGTTACATATGTCAAAGCTGAATTTGGAAAAAGCCTAATTTATCTTCACCTGGTCCCCCTTTCAATGGTATCTGGCTTTTTTTTTTCCCCCTTTTCTTCCTTTTTGCTTTGATAAGTCCATTCTTCTTCATCTAATCTAGATACACTCTTGGCCTTACCCAGCTCTACGTTTCCTTCTTTATAGAAAAGTATTTTGCAAGGACTCTAATTTCTGTGGCTGTTGAGAATATGAAGGAACGTTTCTGGAAGTTGTTGTAGGAGGCTCAAGAAGGCAGGTTTCAGCTGAGCCACCAGCCCTCGGAGGCTCCTTCCTAACATTCATCTCAGCCTTTGGGAAAGTGAATTCACTCTGTCAACCGTGTGCCATGTGCAGACCGCGCTCAAAGTGACCAGTGCAGGCTGTGAGGGACAGGAGAGAATGAATCTCCCTCCTCATCCCCATCACAAAGTCATCCTGAGCCCTAATCCTCCTCCAGCAGCTCCTGTGCCCACACAATGTGGTTGAAACTCTCCGAGCTGGCACTGAGAGCTGTCCACTAACCAATGGCAGCCACCCTCCCTCCTGAGCACATCTGTGCTGCCCTGACCGGGCCTTTTGGCTGGGGCGATTCCGCCCACTGGAGTGACCTCTCCTTGATGTCCAGGCAAATCCTACCTGGCCTCGAAGTGTCAGCTCCAGTCCCCCTACCCTCTGCAAGGGCTCCCTGGCCAGCCCAGCTGAAAGTGCTTGCTCCTGACCCGCGGTCAGCACTTCCTCTCGGCATAGGGCAGCCATGTAATTTATCATCCATGGCACTTTTGAGAGTGAAAGGGGATCCTGTTAATAATTAGGCTGGGACATCAGGCATAAACCAGGACTGTTTTGGGAAAACCATTCTCATATGCCTGCTTCATCCCCCCCATTTGACTCCTAAGTTGCTCAAGTCCAGAAACCACGTCATACATAGTCTCCATAGCATTCGTTCTAACTACCGCACAGAGCCTTGTACACAGAAGGCTCAGATTCATGAAATAAAGAAGAAAGAGGATGAGTTGATGGGAGAGGGGTGGATAGATGATGGATGCACAGCTAGACGGGCAAGTCTCCAAAGTGCTTAACCTTTTCTTAGAGAGTGAGCCAGTTACCTGCGGGACGACTGTACTACTTACTTCAAAGCTCCCATAGTTATCAGTTATTAAAAAAACCCTCTGCCTCTGTCTGAATTCTCCAAGTTGGCCTCTGTTCCTCCACCCAGCTCCCCAGTTAAATGTGTTTCTCAGCTTCCCTCTGTGGCCCCAGCTGGAGGGCAGACACACCCTGGCCTTCCTTTCCATGTGGTTTACTGTGAATTACTCCAGCAGGCAAACACTTTGCTTCCAGCAGAATGTCTTCCAATAAAGAAAGGAAAGATTCGCCATCCAAGAAACAGCCTACTTGTTTGGACTAAACACTAATTGCACTTACATCCTAATGGTACAGTCCAGTCCCAGAAAATCAGGGCCTCTTTTCATCTCTAGCATTGTCTTGTCTTGGGTACATTTCTTAAACACCAGTAACTTTCTCAATATCAGGAATGCTCATCAATGTTTCCGGATTTTTCTAAAGCATATTTTTCTCTTCTTCTCTCAACCCCTCTCCCCACCCCCATTTCAGAAACGAGAAGGAATCCTCCAGTCTCGGCAAATCCAAGAGGAAATAACTGGTAACACAGAGTATGTCAACACCATTGTTGCCAGCGATTCTGTAATGGAACACAGATGTTTCTCCGAAATTCATCCATTTGCTGATATTTAGTTTTCATTTATTGGGATTGCAGGAGGGATTAGACTTCAGCCAATGATTATAGTTTAGCCTTTTCCATGCATTCAAAACATGCCTCTCAATGCTTAAGGTACAAACTTGGGTGGGGAGTGAGGAGAGGGAATTAGCAGTGATTGAAAAATTCTAATTTTGTGACACTCCAGGAAAAAGTGTACCCAAAAAAGCCAACCAGCATGAAATCGTCATGCCATAAACACTGGGTTCAATTTAAATTGTTAACCTTCAAAAGGACATTTTTCTTCCTTTTCTGAATCTGATTTGGTTACGTGCCATGACCCAGAAAGCCCTTCTCTACATTAGAGTTGTCTTTTGGGTTTGTTGTTTTTTTGGGTTTTTTTCCCCCATTTACTTTTAGAAACTGGGATATTAGAACCTATCAAAGGTTTGCCATGGGGAATAGGACTTTTGTTCATAAGCAGAAAGAACAGGCTAGCGTTGGGTGGGTTTAGGATCACCAGCAGGCCTGGGCCCTGGCCCCCCGCAAAGCCGGACAGTTTGCTTTCAGCATACCCTGCTGCCCCAACTTTTCTCTGTACCCCCTGGACAAGAGCAGCATAGTGAAAGGAGCAGGGACCACTAAGCCAGCCTGACTTGAGTTCAAATCCAGGCTCTTCCACGTACTCACCAGGTCAGTCCCTTAACCCCTCTGACCTCAGTCTCTTCATCTCTGAAGTGGGAGCGTTTCACTCACTCAGAGAGGTAGTGAGGATTTGGTGTCGGCACAGCTGTCCTTCCTGGCTTTTCTCCATTACGGCTGACCCACACCTTCCAAGCCTTGTCCAGTCTCTAGCAAGCCCCCTCCCTCTCCCAGTCATGGCTGACAGGTGTCCAGGGCACCTGTCTGGACCATACTGTGCACATGCCTTAAAAAGAGGTTAGGGGTATGGCCATTTCAGACCAAGAGTGGGACAGAGATACAGAGTGGCTCTTCCCAAAATGCCCAGTTTATGGCCTATGGACACCCCAATCGAGCAGCCTCCATGTCACCCCAGGACCCAGTCTTAGGAGCCAAAGGGTCAGCTGGTCTACAGGGCACACCAATTTTTGGCGTTGGTTCTAGGAAGGGTAGGAGGAAGAGCTGCCCTGGGTCAGGCCTGCTGGGAGGGGAACAGCATTCCTAAGTGTCCTGCCCCCGCCCCATGCTGGGCTTGTCTGTGCCCACGATTTCACCTTCTGGAAAAGAGGAAGACGGACCAGAGAGGAGCACGGCCTGGGAGAAACTCCCAAATTGGTGTATGAAGTTTCAGATTCCAGAACAATCTCTCAGCTGCCTGTTAGGCTTTCAGTGCTCCCCCTGTTTTTTGCCATCTCTGCCACAAAGACATAAACATGGATACAGCCTCCTAATAATGACAACACAGTACAATTTGTGAAGCAATTTTGTATCCACTGATGTTCATGATAATCACATGAACCCAAGGTCAGACCCCTAGAATCCCACAGCCCAAGACTGTATCCTTGATCTATCCAATAGTTTGCTCCAAATTCCTTATTCTTTGCAAGTGGTCATTTAGTGGGTGACAGGTGTACTGGCGGGTAAACTGGCATAGTAAGAATTATAAGAACCAAAATGTATTGAGAAAAAAAAGTTTTGAACATCTGCTATATACTAGGAATTATGCTAACATATTTCTAGATATTAAATCATTTATTGCTCATTGAAGTATTTACTATTATTATCCTCATTTTAGAGATGAGAGACCTGGAGCCCAAAAAGGTTCAGTAGCTTGCCCAAGGTCACACTGCAGGAAAAAAAAAAAAAACAGGCTAAGTAGGATTTAAACCTAAATGATCTCTAATGCTTTGCTGCTTCTCTGCTCTAAATGTGGTTCCAGTTCCTGCCCTCTTTGAGAAAGCCTACCCTGGCTCAATGGCAGGTGTGTCTTAGTGGGCATCACAGGAGGGACAGGAGAGAGGCAACGCTGACCTCCCCAGGCAGTTGCTCAGAGCAACCTGGGCAGTGAAATTCCACATTGGGGGGGCTACTTCAGCTCTGCTCCTAAGAGTCTCTGTTTGGGGATCTTCAGCCCCTGAGTCTAATATTCTTTCTTAACTTCAAGCAATAACGTGATTTTATTTAAGGCAAGAAATAGTCCTTTAAGCATCACTATACCAGGCTTTGCGCTAACACCAGTATATCCATGTAGCAGAGGAAAAACATAGGTGGTAATGTGGTAAAGTCTCAGTAATTGGAGACTGCGGAACAAAATGCCAATGGAAGGAGGCTTTTCAAGCTTCTCAACCAAGGACAGGATGGTGGCAGGCAGGGTAGGGGTGGGCTTCCAGCAGTGACAGAGGGTCCTCAGAGGAATGGCCTCTAAGAAAAGGCCAAGAGAAGAGTCACACTGTTTTCTTTCTCCTTTTCCTACAGGGCTCTTTCCGGGAGGCATGGTGAGTTGCATAAGATTGTCCTCTGGCACTGGTGGCTGCGGTGGGGCTCTAGTTAATTCTGCAGCGGCTGGGAGGAACAGGCTCTCAGCTGGCTGCCTGGATGCGTTTCTGCACCAGCCTGGCAATACGGCTGGTTTGGTAGGGAGGGATAGCTTGCTGGTGGGAAGAAGATCTGCACAATTGTCTTGAAAGTAATCAGGCTGTTGACCTTGCCAGTGCTGCTGGATGGATCCTGGGCATTTGCAGGGCACTTTTGCTCTAAGCATGTTGTGGAAGTAAAGGAAGAGATGTATGAACACAGGGACTGTCCCCTCTCCCCACTCTGTGCAGACCTCTGCCTTCATCACAGCTCCCTCCTCTCCCATTTCCCATGACTCTGGGTGTGTGTAGGGTCCGTGAATGTCAGAGATCACCATCACCGTTCTGGTAGTCTCACATTCGTCCATTGGTGCAAGAGTAGGAGAAGGCAGGCCTGGGGGGTCACAAACCCTCCCTGCCCCAGGCTCTTCTTGGAGACCTTCCCTGCCTCAGATGCCCTCCCTATGTCACCTCCTGGCTCTGAGAGCATGGAGCAAGGAAATCCCTACAGGGAGCGTGACTTTGCTCTTTTCTGTGATCCTGGTATTTACTATGGGTAATATCTTGAAATATTTCAATCATGCTAAAAACGATTCACAACACTAGAGCACGTCACAGTTTACAGAGCACATGCACGTACATTCTCACCTTTCATCCTCGCAACAAACCTGGGAGAGGGTCATTTTTAAGATGACGTTTTATAGAATAGGAAACTGAGGTGTGAAGAGTTGAAGTGACACAGATCGCACAAGAGGAAGAGCTCATGTTCTATCCTGAATCCGCAGCTCTCCCTCCTCTTGCCTGCACCCTCCAGCAGCATGTTTGTCTTGGGTGTCCTGGCTTTGAAAATTAGGGGTGAAATGATTTGATATTTGGATAACATTGTACCTCCGAAAAGTTTCAAAAACACCTTAGAACCTTAACTAAGTCACAATATAATGGCATATAGTGAAGAGAAATGACTAATCCCAGTTCAAACTGCCTGACAGAGCCCTGCACCCTGCCCTAGCCCAATACAGGGTTGCTTTGTGTACATATGCGTGGATACACACAGACACACACATGCGCACAAGAGAGAGAAAGGCCCCTAGGGTAAGAATTAGCCCCAAACCTCAGCCCCAATCTCAGATTCCCAAGTTCTCAGCACAATACCCCAAAGTTTTCCAAACCACAGGGTCCTTTAAAGGCTGTGGCCCTGTGACGGGGGTGGCTTCCCCGCCAGGAATCGGCTTGTACTCCACGCTCTGTTTTCCTCTTTTTCAGAGCGTGATGCCTTTGACACCTTGTTCGACCACGCCCCAGACAAACTCAACGTAGTGAAAAAGGTGGGAAGGGGGCGCCTGCGAGGGAGGGAGGGGCTTGAGCCACAGCAGATCATTAACGAAACCCACCCCTGCGGCTTGTGAGCTCCCTGCCCAAACTGGTGTCATCACTGATCTCCGCAGACACGGAGCTGTCCCTCTGGCTGTCCGCTCACCTGTCTTCCTCACTGGAAGCCTACACAGTCTCTTTCCTTTCTGTGGGGTGAGCATCCTGTCTTCACACCGGCGCCGACCTCAGCTATCCCTGCTGCTCGCACAGAATCCCGTCCCCTGGCTCAGGCACCCGCACCGAAGGAGGGACGCAGTGGGGTCATCTCATCTCGGGCCCCCTTCCTAGTTTCCCTTTGGCCCCCTGACCATGGGCTCAGACACTCCACCTGTCCTGCCTCTCGGGACTTCCCTGTTCCTTGCACAGTCCTGACTCGGGTGCAACTGCAAGGCCTGGAGCCTGTGGCCCTCCTTGTGCTCTCGAGAGCCTCTGCAGGGGGACCTCCTGGGCTGCTCGTCATCACCGGGCCAGCATGACGGTCCTGGGCCCAGCACTTCTGGCCAGGCCTGGTCCCCTGCTCTCCCCCGACCAGGCTGGGGGGGCAGCCGCAGGGTCTGGCCCTGGAGAGAGCCTTCATCTCAATGCCCGCTTTGCTTCTCTTTCAGACGCTCATCACTTTCGTGAACAAGCACCTGAATAAGCTGAACCTGGAGGTCACAGAACTGGAAACCCAGGTGGGGACAGTCGCCAGTGCAGGTGGGGGCAGGGCCCTGCTCGACGGCCACTGTTCCCAGTGCCCTGGCATCGCCAGCAGTGCTTCCCACACCGACACTGCGGCTTTCCCTGCAGAGAGGGATGAGGGCCTCGGAATCTGTTCTTCTCAGAGGGGAAGAACTAGATGGAATTTCCCTGTGGATTTTTCCCAACTTATTTGAAAAGTTGTGAGAATGAATACCCATATACTCTTCACCTAGATGCACCAGTTGTTAACATTGGGCCACATTTTGTCTTTCTCTCTCCACCACTAAATACTTCAGCATACATCTTTTAAGAACAAGTACATTCTCTTGGATAACCATGATATGATCGTCAGAGGCAGGCAGTTTTAACATTGACACAATACATTCATCTACTCAGATTGAATCGTACAAAATTGCTGACATTTGACTGCTTTTAACCTACTAAAATGGCAATGTCACATGGTTGGAAAAAATGCTCTAGATTCATATTTTGCCAGTGGTCCCAATATGCTCACATGCTGCATTTAGTTGTCACATCTCTGTAGTCTCTTTTTAACATAGAACAACTCCTTGTCCTTTCTTGGCATGACGCTGACCTTTTTGAAGAGTGCAAGCCAATTGGTTTATAGAATGTCCCTCTGTTTTTTCCCCCATGGTTAGATTCAGGCTACACATTTCCAATAACAGCACTCCCTGAGCAAGGCTGTGTTCTTCTCGGGGCATCACAGGAGAGGCACATCTGTCCATGCGCCCCATTCCTGGTGATACCGTGGATCACTTGGTTTAGGTGGCATCCGCCAGATTTCCCTGCTATAAAGTTCTTTTTCCTCCCTTTACATGTCATGCATTCTGTTTCCCAACATCCTTTTACTCTTGGAGAATTTCTGCATCTTAGTTTTCTCTGGAGCGCATGGGCACCTCCTATTATTGTTAAAGTCAATTGCCCAGTCTGTGGGTGACCTCTGCCCGAGAGTCTCTGGACTCTGTGGAATGAGCTTCATATACTCTCCTGGGAGATAAGAAATGCTCTGTAAAAGTGATGTTGCCTCGAATGAGCTAGTATGGGCTCTGGAACCTTCACCTCAGTTTCCAAGGGCAGGGTTGCTATAAAAGGGGGTCACTGCTGGCACTTTGGGTGTCTGCAGGTTTTACCCACTATCCCCACCAAGTCAGCAGAACCAGCCATTCAGGGTGGGAGCAGTCTAAATTTGGCACTCAGAGCTGTGGGTAACCCTAACCCAAGGTCCCCCCTGAGCTCACAGATTAAATTCTTTCACACCCAGCCCGTTCCAGCCACAACCAAGATAAGGCCCAGTTGCTTAGCTCCCACCAGGAGGGCATTGATTTTGACATAAATTATGGGGTCTGCTCTCCTCAGTCCACCCAAGGGTGGCATGGGGTGAATTGTGCTCGGGCCCTTCCCACTTGAGTTGCGGGCCTGATGAATGGAAGCAGCCCGTGCCTAGGGTCTCATGCCCTTAACAAAGGCTGAAGACCAAAGCCAGCCAGGCACCCAGCAAAGCTATCTGAGCAGACTTTGGACACAGCCCACACTCTAGGCAATTCAATCTAGTTCTCTTAAGCTTCCTGATTCCAAGAAATTGGGCCTCTAGCAACTGCTGTTTATGCCCACAAACATTTGGTGGCCCAGCCTCCTTTGAAAGTGTCGTAGAATATTGGATGTGTTCAGGCCAGCCTCTGTTCCTGGATGCCTATTCCTCCCGAAGTTCATTATCCCCAGGCCCCCACTGCCTGCACAAGCCTGCCCTCGGTGCACATTCATCTCACCCTTCCTTGAGCAGAAGACCTGCAGCCTCTGCACTTAGCCTAGGAGTCTCTTGTCCCTTGGGCCTGGTTTCCCAACCCATCTGGCCTCTAGGAAGGGACCAGGCTATAATCCTCTTGCCACGGTCCTCAGCACATAGGTCTGCTTTGCCAGCAAGAGCCAGTAAGTCGTGTCCTCATTGCTCTGTTGTTTTCCCAGACTGTAACAGCAACAGTTAGTATTTATTAAGTGCTGTTTACGTGCCAAGCAGATTACAGGCACTTTACACATTTTAACTCGTTTAGTCCTCACAATAACCACAGGAAGTAGATACCATTATCACCCCCATTTTACAGATGAGAAAAATGAGGTGCAGAGAAGCTACATAACTTGCCCAGGTCACACAACTAGTAAGTGGCAGAGCTGTGATGGGTGCCCAGAAGGCTGGGCTCCAGAGCCCACATTTGTAACAGGACACCCCGCTGCCTCTCAAGCGACAATGAGGTGACATGTGAGAAAGGAGGATGCCCAGGCCTGTGCCACACTAGAGTCCTTCCTCTGCTCAGAAAGTGAAAGTCGCCACAGTAGCCTAATGCCGGTCACCTTGGACATCACCTGTCCCTCCTCCCTCTGCCCTACCTGGCTAACTCCTCATCCCCAGCTCTCCATTCAGTTGGCGTCCTCTCCGGAAGACTGCTCTGATGCCTTCGGTAGGCATGGGTGACCTTCCTCAATCTCGCTCAGGCCAGCACGCTTCCCTCCATCAGAGCAGCTGCCACGATGCCCCCACACTGGTGTCCCCCACTGGACTGTGAGCTCTCTGAGGGCAGGAGCCACACTGACCCCACTGTGGTCCCCATGCCCAGATCAGGAGTTGGTGCACAGTCTATGCCCAGTAAATGCTAGATCAGCTGAGCTCAGGACTGCGGGCTTATGGCTCCTGTGTCAGACCAGCCAGACATGGGACAGGCCCGCTGCAGAGCAGACCTCCCCGCCTCAGGCCACTGCCCCTCACTCCTGGCCAACAGTTTGCTGGGGCAGTGGCTTTTGGGTGGGACGGCCCCATGGACAGAGCTCAGGGGGGGAGGCTTGGGGGCCAGAGCCTTCACCAGGCCCTCTTCTCCAGTTTGCAGACGGCGTGTACCTGGTACTGCTCATGGGCCTCCTGGAGGGCTACTTCGTGCCCCTGCACAGCTTCTTCCTGACTCCAGACAGCTTTGAACAAAAGGTAAGGGACACCAAGGGAAGCCCCTGGCCCATATCCCCTGCCTCATCTGCCCACACCCCTGCTGGGGCTAGCCAGGAGGAAAGCAGAGGCTCACCCTCTGCCCAGGGTCTTCAGTGGCTGGAGGTTCCCATTCTGATGAGAGCTGAGCCAGGAAGGAGCCACCTGCAGATCGCTGAGAGTCCTAAAAGCCTCTCCTTTCCCCAGCAGCCTGGCCCTGGTCCCCTAGCCATGTGCTCCTGCCAAATGCACAGCCCTGCCTCATCTCTCCCCAGAGGTAACAGGGAAGGTGACTGCGAGGCCCACGCTCAGCCTAGTTCTACATCCTGCTCACTAGACAAGAGGCGTTTGGTCTAAAGCAGAAAGCATTCTCTGCCTATTGAACATGTCTTGCCATCTGCTCCTTCCAAGCGTGTGCACCAACATCCCCAAGCTTGAAATCCAGGCAGCTGGCACAGGAACACAGTAGGACAGGAAGAGAATTTTTAACTTCTCTAGGAATGCTTCTCCAATGTCAAGCTAGGATCAGCAAGCTCACACTCCATATGGCCTGCCCATTTCAGTAGCTACATTTCTCCTTGAAGTTAGCTCAGCCTCTACCCCTCCGGCTCCACTGCTGGGCTCCTTCACTCCCCAGGGGCAGGTCTCAGGGCCCTAAGTGTCAAGCAATAACATATGCCCTGCATCTCTCTTGCCAGGTCTTGAATGTCTCCTTTGCCTTTGAGCTCATGCAAGATGGAGGGTTGGAAAAGCCAAAGCCACGGCCAGAAGGTACTTTGCCTTTCCCTAGGTTTGTGACAACACGATGAGACCTTCTCCTTGCACATGAGTGCTCCGATCTTATAGCAGAGGGAAGAGTTTCTCTTCCAAAGTCTTCTTTGCCAGGGAAGGTGGGACTAGGTGCAGCTGCTCAGTCCTGGAGACCCTTTGTGAGCTGCAAACCACACAGCCAAGGGAAGAAAAAGAAGCTGAAATCCCACCCATGGGATCACAGGGATCAAGGCTAGTCAGAGGTGCTATTGCAGGCATTGCCCTGTGCCCAATTTCCAGGTCCTTCTGTCTCTGCACAGAGTGCTGACCTGCCAGAGAGCTGTGTCCCTGCCAGTCCAGGTGGAGGTGCAGGGCAGACAGCTCGGCGCTGAGCAGAACTATCTCCCCTGTGCTGACAGATGAGGCACTCCACCTGCTCCAACTCTCCAACCCTGCCTGAGGACGAGGTTTAACCTGTGGGGCTTGGGTTGCACATGAGACTAGGGGGAAATGCGCAAGGAGCAGATGCTTCAGCAGCCCTGGCATGCTTGTGCTTGGAGCAAATGTGTGCGTTTGTGAGTGGAGGAGGCGTGCTTCTCTCAGCAGTCTTCTTGGTACAGACATCTACTTCCTTCCCCTTACTGACTGAAGTATAAGTTTACCAGAGCCGGTGAGTCAACACGGTGTTGCAGATAATTTTCTGTGTACGCCGCATCAGAACACTGAGTAAGCTGTTCACAGCCCGTTAGCTTGACTTTCCTGGTTGTTTAAAGGCAAGTGGACAAGTAGGGATGGTGGCCTTTCATGTCCCGTGACTGCCTCTGCTCCAAGCTCCTCCACCCAGACCTCCACACAGAGGGGACCGTGCACTGGTCTACTGGGCCTGAGACCCTGCCGATCGTGACATACCAAAAGGGGTAAGACCATGCCTGACCTCAAGGCACTTGCAGCTGACCAGGGAAGAGAAAAGATGCACCCAGTCACCGAAACAGAATGACAGTCATGGTAACTGCCACGAAAGAGGTATAACTAAGAGGTTGTGAGGACGGAGGTGATACCACGTCTGGCAGGTGAAACAGAGTGATGGAGATGGGGACAGTCAGGCTAAACCATAAGGAGCAGGGAGGGCTTTGGTGTGTAGGGATTAGCACAGAGAAGTAAGCATCCCAGACAGAATGACAGTGTGAGCAAAAGCCCCACCTGGGGAATGGGGACTCTCTCTCTCTCATGACTCCTTCCCGACCTTGATGGCCATCAGCTCTATCCAACAACGGTCAGTCCCTGTTTATTACCACCTTGTCCTAAGCCCCTGGTCAGCTCTAGGGCAGGATCTCTAGCAAGGCTGGAGTCTGGCAAGGCCACTCTAACCAACCTAATGCCATTAGGAATGGACTCTGAGCTTCCTATGGCCAGGTGATAAGCACCCTGCTTTTGGGTAGGAGACACAGCGGGAGAGTTCCAGCCACCATTTCTGCTTCCATTTTCTTGAACTGCTTAATATGAAACTTCCTGGTTATAGATTAGAAGTACTTCATCTGACATTTTAGTTTTCCAATATTTATTTCCCTCAGGACAGATCATTTCCCCAATATCAATCTATGGGAATATTTCAGCCTATACAAGACATTTTTTATGTAATTATTAAACTGCTTAATATGAAACTTCCTGACCAATGTGAATGGAAAAGCACATCTGTTTTATTTGTTGTTACACTGGGCACAATGCCCGTGCTGAAAATTTCCAGTGCGTAAAGGAGAATTGAAATGGTATTTTACGAAATTGTACTTTGTGAGAAGCGTATCCCAGCATTCCCTCTGGTTTCTATGCTTCCACCTGGAAAGTGAGATTCCGTAGTAACTGCTGCAGACTTTACAAAAGGTACCAACGTGGGTAGTTTTTTGAGGCTGTTTTGAAATCAACTTGGTTGTGGTGGAGGCATTTTTCATGGCAGAATGTTTGTAAGGTCAGGAAAATGCATTCTCTGCCATGCTGTTTGACACTCCAAGCTCTGGTGTACCTTGTCTCTCAGATGATGTTTGCTGCCCAGGCTTTATAACCTTTTAGTACTTGACTAGTGTAAGCCAAGGGTTAGCATCAAATTCATGACCAATGGAGCAGGTGAAATATTGGCATGAAGCTGGTAGATGTTTATTTAGGGCAGCGTACCACACGTCTTCAAATGCACGTGCCTACCTATCATCACCATTCAAGTTGGCGCATCATCAAATATGGGTAAGACCCCGGCATGACAGGCAGGTGGGGACTCAGAAGACATCCAATACCAAGACAGGATTGAAGTCTGTAGGGCAGCCGGCTGGCTGGTGGAATATCTAAAATTTAGTGTCTACTACCTGGCACCTGATGGCAAGCAGTGCTGAGAAACCAGACGGGTGATGGCAGCTTAATTCAGTTGATCAGTTCACTTGGGGAAGACTGGATCAGTGCCGGGTAATATGCAAAGTGTTCAACTCCCCTTCTCCATTCCCCTAGAAAATAGTGTACAGAAGGCAACAGTGGCCAAAACTTTAAAACTCTGATAATACCAAGTGTTAGCAAGGATGTGGAGCAACAGAAACTGCTGGTGTGAACGTAAATTGATGCAACCATTTTGGAAAATAGTATGTCCTTATCTAATATAGTTGAAGATTTGTAACACCCTGTGTGGTAGTCAAAATTATGACCCTCACGCCCCGAAATGTCCACGTCCTAATCGTCAGAATCTTTTTATATTACTTTATATAGCAAAAGGGACTTTGCAGATGTGATTAAATTTAGGGTCTTAAGATGAGGAGAGTATTCTAGATTATCCAGGTGGTCCCCAGGGTAATCACAAGGGTCCTTCTTAAGTAGAAGATTATAAGTAGAAGAGGGAGGCAGGGGTGTCAGGGTGATGTTGTATGAGAAAGGCTCACCCAGCCATCGCTTGCTTTGAAAATGGAAGAGGATGATGAACCAAGAATACAGGCAACCCCCAGAAGCTGGAAAAAACAAGAGAAAAAATTCCCCACTAGAGGCTCCAGAAGAAATGCAGCCATGCTCACACCTTGGTTTTATCCCAGTGAGACCAATTTAGGACTCTTGACCCCTAAAATTGTGAGATAATAAATTTGTATTGTTTTAGGCCACCAAATTTGTGCAAATTTGTTACAGCAGTAATAGGAAGCTGTTGCTCCCTGTGACCCAGCAGTTTCTCCTAGGTATGTCCACAGATCAGGAGACAAGTCCAAGAATACCATGATAGCCTAAGCTGGAGTGTACATCCCCGGTAGACTAGCCACAGAAATTGGAGTATATTCATACTGTGGATCATTATATGGCAACAACAATAAAAGGCACTCAACTGAGAAGACAAGGGAGGGACCTCTAGTTACTGCAGCACGAAGAGGTCAGTGACTGTTCTCTGCAAAAAAGAATAAAATTGGACAAAATGATCAAAAACAACCATTTGAAGCAGTGAAAATCTATGAGAGGTAGACAAATCAAGAAGTGTTTATTCTTGAAAAATTATACCTCGATAAAACTGTTAAAAAATGAACAGCTCATGCGACAACAAAAGTGAATCCTATAAACATAATTTTGAGTTAAAAAAAATCACAAAAGAATACCTATAGTATGATCCCATTTATATAAAATATAAAAAGAGGCAAAGTTAAAACCTCCTGTTTAAGGGTGCATATGTTACAGTAGAACTATTAAAGAAAGCAAGGAAGTAATCACCATAAAAGTCAGGATAATGGTTATCTTTGCAGGTAAGAGAGGGATGTGACCAGGAATGTCAAAGGGGAAGGGGATGCTTCTAGGCTAGTGACAATGTTTTATTTTTGACATTGGTGGGTTTTTTTCCCCCAGGTTTTTAAAACTGTATATGTGTATGTTCTACATACTTTTCTGGATGTTTGTCATATTTTAAATCTTTTTTAATATGTAAAGAAAATAGCAAATTCACAAGATAGGGTAGTATGTCACCACCAAAATGAACATCTCTACAGCATGGATCCTGTCCTGTGGGGAAGAGGGAGCTGACAGGGAAGCAAGCCAGGGACCAAAAACAAGATGGATCTGTTGGGGTTGGGCCAGGGGCTGGAACGTGATGGATATCCTAGAGCTGGGCTCACCCCAAGTAGCCAGCTTATGGCCCCCCAACTTATTCCAGCCCCCACCAGCTGGTGGCCATACAGGGCCATGTCCCTTTGTGTAAAGACTGGGTTTCTGCTGTTAAGAGGGTTCCTCTCTGTCCTTTGACTTCTGCATCATTTAGAGCAGCAGTCCCCAACCTTTCTGGCCCCAGGGACCAGTTTCATGGAAGACAGTTTTTCCACGGCAGGGGTTGGGGGCTGGGGAGGATAGGCAGAGCTCAGGTGGAGATGCAAGGCTGGTTCCTAGCCACAGACCGGGAGTTGGGTCCGCAGATTTAGAGAACCATGAACTCATTTGGATGGTCCTCTAATGGACGAAAAGAGTCACTAATTCCACTAGGTGAGAGGAGAACATGATGAACCCTTTTCCCTTGGCCTGAGGCTGTTTCCTCCCTAGAGTCAGCTTGGGGCTGATTTGTCTCTTCCTGGCCCCTGGCCTGCCAGACAGCCTCTGCTCTGGTGTCTCTAACCTGCAGCCCCATAGTCCTGATTGCTCCCAGAGAGGGGCCCTGGCCAGCACACAGAGGCCATCAGAACTAAACTGAGTTGCTAATCACGCAGCTTATAAATCCAGGACTTTAAAGCAGCTCTGTTTATACAGCATGGAGTCACGGTGCATTCCCAGGAATCCACAGCCCCTTTCCTGGCTGAGATAGCCCAGTCTCTCCCTGGCCTGCTAATCTGCCTGGGACTACCTGGGTGGCAGCTGTTTGCTTTCTTGAAAACAGATTAGAAACAGTGTCTCTCCTCTCTTCACCCAGACTACTTGGTGGTGGTGGTGGTAGTGGGAAAGGTGGTGAAGAAGCAACTCAAGTTTCCCAAGGACAGGACTTAGTTTATGTGGATGGTGCCCCCTGGAGTTGTGCAGTGCACAAACTGCACAGTTGTACATAACAGCTCTGCTAATGAGCAAACATGGGAAAACAGGAAGGAAATTACCATTTAGAGGGCCTTAATATGTTCTGATGGGTTTCATAAAGGTATTGCCCAATTTTACCAGTAAGAAAACTAATTCAGAGAAGTTAAATGACTAGCAGCGTCACACAGCTATAGGGGAGATGGGCTTCAAACCTTGGTGACCATTACAATTAAATACAATGGTCAGTTTGAAACATTCTCCTATAATGGACATTTTCCTTCCCTAGCAGCCTCAGAACTCACCTGTCTTAAAAAGGGGAAAACAAATCCTCCTGCCTCGTCTATATCTGTCCTTCATCAGGCCCCCAAATTCCTCCTTTGTAACCCAGACCCACTGCCTCTACTTCTTCCAGGCCCATTCTGTCATTAACACTTGACCTCCACCTGCTCTTGGCCTTGTTCTCTCCCAGGCCACATGCTGTGGCCATGTCCCCTAGGCACCCTTTTCAGTCCTTAACCTTCTCATTTTCTTGGGAGCATACAGCCCTGTTGTGTGCCCCTTCTTTCTGGAATTTTCGTCCTTGGCTCCCAGGACACTGGGCAACCATTCATACATGTATCTGTTAATAAAATATCCAAGGAGGGTCTGTACATGCCAGTAGTGGGCCTGGCATCCCAGCAAAACAAGGTGGGTTCTCTGTGCTCAAGGAACTTACAGCCCAGTTCAAAGACAGATGTTAACCAAATAAGCACAGAAAGCCTGAGCAACATGGCGGGACCCCACCTCTACAAAAATTAGCTAGGCATGGTAGTGCACGCCTATATTCTCAGCTACTCGGGAGGCTGAGGCAGGAGGATCGCTTGAACCCAGGAGTTTGAGGTTGTGGTGAGTTATGATCACACCACTGCACTCTAGCCTGGGCAATGGAATAAGACCTAGTCTCAAAAAAAAAAAAAAGATACAAATCACTGATTTTGAGCTACATTGAGTACATGAAAGAAAAGCATGGGGGCTTTGAGAATGTAAAACGGGGCACCCTTGCCCAGGCTGGGTATCAGGAAGGCTTCCCTGAGGAGCTGGTGCTTTGAGCTGAGGTCTACAGGAGGAGCCGGAGCCAGCTATTTGGGAAGAGCAATGTAGATGTCACAACAGCACAGGCAGCCCGTGGGGAGGTAGTGAAAGGAAGGCAGCGTGACCGGTGCATGGTGAGGCAGGAGCATGGCATGAAGCGAGACAGGAAAGGTAGGCCGGGTCAGGTTACACCTTACAAAACCATGATTTAGGATTTGGGACCTTCTCTTCATTGAAATGGCTTGTATAGCCATACAGGCTGGGAGCTGTACAACTCCAAAGGGCACCGTTTATGCTGTGCCTGGAAGTGTGAATGATGAGCCCTGGAGTCACGCAGTACACATCCTGCACAGCCATACCTGGAGGCCTGATAGTCTGGCTACAGCAGGTAGAATGAATTGGACAGGGCAAGAGGAATCCATTAGGAGCCTGCTGCAGAGGCCCCAGGGCCGCTTTACCTTCGCCTTTGTGCTCACTCCCTTGGCGAGCTCACCTTTGCCCCTCTCTGCCTTTCTAGCAATTTCTCCCTGGAGTAACTTCCTAATGTTTGACTCATGTGGAATTTACGAAACACTCAACACCAAGCAGTCAGGGTAGGACAGGAATCAGCCCAGAGGACACAGGACTTGGCAGGAGGTGGTCCAGGGTGGGACACAGGGCTTAGCCACTTGGAGGCCAGGGCCTGGGTGGAGGCTCAGCTGTGTGATGAACCAACATGGGAGCAGAAAGGGAAGCTTTGAGCTCCAGCTTCTCAGGGGTCCCTGGAAATCCCTGGTCTATCAGCAAGAGAGCTGGGCACAGAGTCTGGGCCCAGCCAGGGCAGAGCAGCGTCAGTCTGCAACCAAGATAAGGCTTGGAAGGGAGCAGGCATGAGGGGACGCTGGGGTACGAGGAGCCTAAGGAGGTTCCCCAGCCCTGGGCCCTCGGCCTGGGGCCCAAGCACACGGGGCTGTGGCAGCTCCAGCTGCAAGCGTCCCAAGGCCAAGACCTGGGAGCCATGGCCCTGCCTGGTCGTCAAGGAGCCCTGTTGCCAGTGACCAGGGTGTTTCTAGAGTCCTGCCTCCTTTCACAATCCCTTCTTTCCTGATGACATGGGGTAACTTCTCCCACCTTTGAATCTCAGAGCCCAATCACCTACCTCATCTGACCTCCTACACAGTTATGTTTTTTAAATCATTTTTATTGTAAAAAATATCACATATATAGACAGACACATAGAAGAAATGTGCAGGTTAGTGCACTATTACCAAGGAAGCGCCACCACCCAGGGCAAGGAGAAGAGGATACCAGCTCCCAAGGGCCCCCTCCAGCTTACCCTGTGCCCTTTTTGAACATAATCCTCTCCTTCCTCCCTGAAGGTAACCACTGTCCTGACTTTTGTAGTCCTCAGCAATTTGCCTTTTTTCCGGTCTTAACTTTTCCTTATAATCTTACTACCTAAGCATACACTCCTAAATGATAGCGTTCCTTTTTTTATTTTCTCCACTCCAGTTCTTCAAAGGATGGCTAAGAGAGTGACTGCGGAGGGACAAGAGCAGGGAGGGGTTTTGTTGAGGGAAGCAGAGGGTGGAGGAGCCAGCACGGGGTTAGTGGAACAGCCAGGAAGGCAGTTAGCAGGGACTGGAGGGAGGCCGGGAGGGCGAGCTGAACAAAATGTGCCAGTGGGTCACACGCAGCCTGGCAGCTGCCAGTTTCCAGCCGCCAGCCTATAAAATCGTGCGAGCTCCATACTTTGGAATTCAAGACCTTTCGGGATCCAGCCCTCACCCCCCAACCTCTCCAGCTGTACTAGTCTATTCGCAATTCTCCAAATAGCTGGGTTTGCTAAGACACAATAAACCTTCCACCCGGAATTCTTTGCCCACTTCTCTGCCTGGCAAGCTCCTGTTACTCTATGTCATCGTTCAGGTATTAGCTTCTTCTCCAGGAAGGAAAGAAGGAAGAAGATGGTTGTGTAGAAGCCGGGGAGCCTACAGTGGAACTCTCAGGAAATACATTCCAGCCCCCAGCTTAAGCTTTAGTGCCTTAAACCCATCTGCCTCGCTGTGCTCTTCATCTGAAGCTATCTGTGACCTTATGACATATATTTCCTAAGTACTCCCTTCTCTGCCAGGCAGGCTCCTGTGCCCACGAGGGGCCCTCCCCCATTAAGAGAGAGGCAGCTTGAGTCCTAATTCACCCCCTCATCCCCCATGCATGGTGGGCCCTGTAGTAGTGGCTGGAGACAGTGGAGGAAGGGCCCAGGGACAGGTGAGACGAGAGTCAGGGCCAGCGCGCCCCTCACCTGGAGATGCTGCATCCAGGCTAAGGCCTGTGTGCTCTGGGGTCTGCTTTCTGCTTTCTCTGGTGAGAGGTAAGACCCCCGGGCCCCTGTACCTTTCCCTCACTGCCTCTTGCTCTGAATTCTCTCTGCCCACTCTGCTCATCCTTCAACACCCACCTGCCCCCGCTGGCCATGGGTCAACCCAGAACATGCAGGGCACGTGGGGACGGGTGGTGGATGGAAGAGAACAATGGATGCCAACCTTGGAACACATGGCCCCATGGAAGCAATTGGTGTTTTCTGTTTTCTGTGCAGACATCGTCAACTGTGACCTGAAATCCACACTGCGAGTGCTGTACAACCTCTTCACCAAGTACCGGAACGTGGAGTGAGGGGCTGCCAGAAGTTCTCACTATCGACAGACTGTACCACCCTCCAAACTGCCTTAACCTGCTTGCTCCTGTCTCTTGCTCTGTGCCCTCCCACAAGTCCAGCTACAACCCAGAGAGAGTGGGAATCGAAATTAGGAAGGAGGGAAACGATCACCAACTCAGCGAGCTGACCCACACACCTCCCAGATCCTGAGGACTGACCCAGCAATGAAACTTGGGAAGGTTGTCCCCATCCCGGCGCCAGGTCCAGATTTCCCTCTGTGTTTTGGGAACCGGCTTAGGCAAAAGAGAGTCCCCAGAAGATGAAAATAAAGATCAGAGTTGCCACATAATGGCTGTAAACTACGTGCCAGGCACCACAGCAAGTTCTCTGATGTACTCAAGCTCATTAAGCCTCAAGACGCCCTTGGAAGTAGGTGTTATAATCCCCTTTTACAGATGAGGAAATTAAGGCCCAGAGGTTAACTGACTTGCCAGAAGCTGGCATTTTTTTCCCTCTTTGAACAACATATTTACTAATAACTAGCTAATTACATCACATTCTTCGCACGTTCGAAAGTTCTGTGTGTACGTGCACGCCAGTGCCTGTGCAGGTACACACCTGGGTCTGAACAGACAGGAACCCACTGATCTCACCACTAGGGCAGGCTAGGTCAGGACTCAGTGATTCACGCTGAAATTGGCAAATTGAATTTGACCCAGTTAATAATGTGTGTGTGTGGCAGAGTCATGTCCCTCAAATCCTTTGTACAAATGAAAATTACTTTTAATTCCTTCAGATTTGTAATAACCTCATACTCTGGTTCCAGGGTGACATTTGGAAAGGATTCTGTTTAGAATTAATGGAGTGGCACATTTTGCAGCCTTTTTGCTTGATTGCATGTAATGGAAATGCCCTATATTTTCCTGCAAAATAAGTACTAAATTCATTATCGTTAAGCAAATGTACAATATACTCAGGCACCGCAGGGAGCTGGGCACGAGCCCATATGAGCATCGCTTGGGAAGTAGGCCTCTTCAACAGGGACCCTTGAACTTTAAAGAAAAGAACTCCTTTTTGCCTTCTAATTGATCATTTAGACTATTCTGGCTAAGTCTGCCCACATGCAATTACCGGCTAATTCAGGCGAGGAAAAATGTAAGTCATTTAGACCAAAGCCGAACAGTTTCCTTGCGTGGGTTACTCAAGGGCTTGTGGTTACTTGTATCTCTTCTATGTGAACCTGACTTTGAACTCCAGAACTCTAGTGTGCCAGGCTGCTGGGTCCTGAAGGAATAGAAAAGGGGAGAGGGGTGATTCGGGGACGAAAAGCATGGGGGAAATATTTGCACACTCACCGTATAGGGACAGAGGCGGCGCTAGTGGTACTTAGCATGTATACCCTTCAATCGAAAGGCCAAAGCCTTGGGATAAACAATAACTTGTGCTGATACTGTATCTTCATTATAGGACTTTCATAACTATGCCAGAGGGACGCCAGCCTGTGTATCCCCTGCACGAGTTTGTGACTACCTTGTCACTACTTTAAGCCCATTGCACAAAGTGCATCTCTGGTTTGAGGGATTCATTTTGATCGGTATCTACACCACCCAAAGTTAGGCCTCCCAAAGTATCCAAAACATTCCTCTCAGCCTTCTCATCGTTTCTTACTAGACTATCTGCAGTAACTCAGAACTCATTTTAGATACACTACGTATTTCTTTGGATAATTTGCTCTTAGAATTGTTACTCAGCATAATAAGCATTTAAGTTACAGAGGAAATGTACTGTCTTGTGTCAATTCATGTAAAAGAATACAATTCTTTTTTATATAATTAGTGAAATATTATATTTTTTTTCCTTAGGAAACACTAAATAATGTAATATTTCTGTTGCTCTCTTTTAAATTCCTGGTAGCAACTCAAGATAAACAATTGCTTTGTTTCCTTGAGCAGTACCAAAGCAGGATGAATTAGGAGGAATGCATTCATTTAAACATGCTTTGCTGTATAAATTCTCTTTTGTCTCTGTTTTTCTTATATTCAAGCTGCAAATGTATAAGTGTCCTTAGTAAGAGCACTCCTTTTTGTAGTTTACATATACACTGTAGGAACTCACATCAGCACACTAGGAAAGTTTTTAAATAACAGGTCTAACTTATCAGAAAATTGTGTTTTGGAACTGAGGTCTTTGCCTCTCAGCCCAGAATCCCACAGCCTGCACCTGGTTTTATAATCATCGTCTCATTTAGGTGTCTTCCTTTAAATTCTGGAATCTCCTACTTAATACACAACCATGGTTTTGCAGGGGGAAGGAGGCATCAGAACAATAAATAAACTGAACTTAACCTTCATCATCTCTTTAAAAAAGTAAAAAGAAACTGAGATGAGAATCAAGTCTACAGGCTCACTGGGTATTTTTTTTCCTTTTCTCCTCTTTTCTAAATTTAAATTCATTGATATTTTTAATAGTCAACATGTAAATGGTACAACATTCAAAAAGCACGAATGGGTGTCTAGTGAAAACCTGAGTCTCCGTCCTCCCCTCTCCGGCAGCCACCACTCCTCCCCGGAGGCCACTGTTTCGATCATTTCTTAGGTACATTTCCAGAGCTCCTCCAGGCATATAAAGAACGAACATACATATAAAATCTTGGGGTTTCTAAAAATATAAATAGCATATTATACATACTTAATGTTATATCTTAGAGATTATTTTATACTGGGTATTAAAAGAAATCCTTTCACAATTTAAAATGAGGATCTGAGCACTTTGTAAGTCCAAATGCACATCTGCCGTCTGCCTGAGCTAGAAGGGAAGGCCCCACTCGAAGGACGGAGAGCTGCCTGCGCGGTGATTTCGAGAGCAGAGACCAAGCCCTATGGAGTCAGGGAGGGAGCTGGGGCGTGTTACCAGAGGCATCCTCATGTGCCCTGAAACGAATTTATTTTTTTAAAGCTCTCTTTTGGAACATTTTGGTTAATTGTATGCAGTTTGATTTGGGTTTCCTTTTTACATATGAGTAGGGCTACTGACTTGTAATCTACTAAGAAAGCATTAGAAAGGTCCCCTACAACATTGTGCTATGAAGTCTAGCGGCCGGCAATGCAGTGCTCATCTACTGTATCAAAAGGCTCCAATTTCACATGTGCAGGTACAGAGCTGACATTTTCGAAGTCTGGGAGAAGGTTTCTGTATCAGCACATCATCAGCGCTGCCTTCAGTTGGTTGCGATTTTCAATTGCTGCTATTGGTACTTTTTAATTATGAATTACTGTTAGCTTAGCTTTATCATTATCAGTTGATTTTGTTGTGGGTTGCTTGGTTAACCCTACAGAGCATACTGAAGCTTATTTGCATCAACAGCATTCTCAGGCTGTAATTTTCCAATAACTACACTCTAAGATATGTATACATTGTGGTTCAAATATGAATCATCCATATTCCAGTGCTCCAGCAAATGTATACATAATCCACTCTCCCCAAATTATCACTAATCTATTTTTCCACTGGAAAATAAAACTAGATGGAGTCTGTAGGTCAAGCAATTTTACCCTAAGCGGGGGACGATCAAAAATAATTTGAGATCCACTGCCTTGAATACAGCCCCACCTCAGGAATCCCACCTACACGGTGCATCCCAGATATGCAAGAGGGGCATGTCCTGAAATCTTCACCAATTCCAATATTGCATGTAGTTCCCCACCCCCGCCCCATAAAATTCACTTAGGTCTACTGGAAAATTTAAGAGCATTTCTGCAGATGCTGAAAACAGGAGAACTGCAAGGAGATGCAAGGCTGGGTGACAGGGGGACTCACCACCGCCTAAGAGACCTACCTCCACGCACCAGCGTCCCAAAGTATTTGCAGATTCAGTTCTCAGCAAAAGACAAGTTAGAATGAGTTGCTCACACTCATAACTACAAAGGTTATATCTGCAAATACCAAGTTTCTATTGTTTTTTACTCTCTGGTCCCTGAAAAATATAAGCCCGGTATAGCTCCAAAATTTGCTTATGCTCCCTGCTTTACTGCAGTGGTGGTTGCATGTGCAAATGTGTGCATATGTGTTCCTGTGCACGATGACAGCAGTGCACTCTTGACGGTGCTCCATGCAGGAGGAACAGCCCCCAAACCAAGCCTGACAATCTTGCAAATTTCAGGCTTCCCATTTGGGAAGCTACCAGTGAAGTGTCTCTTGAAGTACATTCTACAGGATATTAATAGTTGCAAGGTGAAAAAATGTCACGTTCAAATAGGTTTGGGAAACATGAGGCTAAGAAAATTAGACTAGCTTACTTAGGCTTTGGTTTTGTTTTTTTGTTTTCTAATGGGAACCCATCTCAGAGTCTCCTACACTAAGGAATATCATGACTCTCTAAGGGAAGATAGAATACAATGGGCCCCAACCCTGTCTGATCACAGAACCTATCTGCCCCTGAGAAGTGCCCAGGACAAGTACTCTGGAACATTCATTTAGCCACATGTTCAGCAAGTATGTGTTGACCACAGCATGTCTAGCAGTGAGTGAGTGTTTATAGTCTAGTAGGGAGACATAAAAATAATAACAAATCAATGTTAATTACAAATGGCAATGGCCACTGTGGAGGAACAGTACTAAAAACCCATCAAAGAGGTCTAGAGAGGGCTCTGACAAAATGACGTTTTAAAGTAACGCCTGGATCATGGGGCTACTCGAGTGAAAAGCCCACCACCCGGGGGCACAGCTTGGAGGAGGACCCCGAGACAGTAGACGATGGACTTCCCTGGAGAAGCTGGCAGAAGCCAGGATGGCGACAGTGCAAAGAGGGGGTAGAAGAGGCATCAGGTCACAGGTATCAGAGGAGTGCAGATTTTCATCACAAGAAACAGAGTAAGCGGTTTATGTGTAAATTTTTCCTACTATAGGATAACTCTGGGGAAAGCTATGTCAGCCACATGGAGGCCTGGGACTGCCCTCCTCGTCTCCGCACCATGGTCGTGGCTAAGGAGGACAGCAAGCTCTGGTCACCCCCGCCTCCAGTCTGGTCTAAAACGACTACTGGGCAGTGCGTAATTCCACCTCCCCTGCGGCTGCTGGAAGGGCTGGAGCTCCTAGACTAATCCCAACCTCTCCACATTTGTCCTCTGAGAAGAGGTAAGGGAGGCGGACAGATCAGATGAGGCTACACGCATGAAGGAAAGGAAAGAAGAGGCCAGGCCAGGAAGCTGGCCCACGGGGACAGTGTGCTTCCAGTGATCTCACCGCGGAGGGGGACTCCTGTTTTATCCTATGTGGGTTTCTTGGGGGTAGCGTGGGGAAGGGAAGATTGTTGACCAGCCTGCAGGCAGGGCAAGGTATAAGCCTCCTGGATATGGAACAATAATTTCATTTTCCAAAGTCATAGTAATCAACATAAATTATCATTGCTATAATGTTTACCACATTATATAAAGCCCACCAAAAGGGGATTATGCCTTGTGAAACATCTTTCATTGGAAGCTGTATTATTTTCACTGGGAATTTTGAAATTCCAGAAATATCATTGGAAATCCCCACTTAAAAGCTCCTTGGTTGGAAACCAGTCCAGTGGGTGACTGGCCCAGAATTCTTCCTCTTGGTGGCTCCATGGCCTGAGTGGCATGTATTCTTCCCTCGATTCCCCTGAACCTTCTGCACGTATGTGGGGTCTGGCTTTGATGCTGGCATTTGAAAGGGCATTTAGGAAATTTGGAGAAGCCCCAATGATTAAGATAAATGATGTTTTATCAATGAAACGTACTTTTCATTTCTTTTCATTGATTTTCATGTTTTCACATCTTCAGATGCAATTTGTTAGCCCAGGGCAGCATTCCAAGACACACAAACGTCATTAAGGCAACCGCTTTAAAGAGTGTGATATTTTATTGAGGTGGACAGGACAATAGATAAATATTTAATCTGTTACACATTTGCTCTGTATGGGAGCCAGGGTTGGGGCTGCACGCCTCTCTGGCTGTAATATGTCTTCCTGGAAACCCTGACAATGGCCTCACTGCCCGCCTGCGGAAAACGTAGCGCCTGCCCTTGGCAAATATCTGTCGGTGTTTCTGAAAAGCAGCTCCTGGAAGCTTTTTCTCACTCAAGCTTCAGAGGTTACCGCATCTTTCCTTATTTGTTATGATATCGGAGAATGTAAACTCTCACTGAACTGGGGCC